ACAAGAGATGATAGAAACTATGGATCATATAATGCTTTTCTGTCCTAAGTGGAATAAGGAAAGAGAGAGATACATCATTCCCGTTATGAGAAAAGAAAAGCTTCCTCTCCTTCCTTGGGTAGTTTCAGTGCTTTTGTCTGATAACTTCCCTGACAATCAAACCACGGCTATAGTGGCTTCCTTTCTAGCTGCGGTGATTAAGAAAACAGATCTCCCTGAGTTTAATTAGTTTATTGCTGATAACTGTCAACCTATATACAAATTTGATAATTTTAAGTGTGTGCTGGTTTGTTGTTGTTGTTGTTTTGGTGTTTTTTTTATTCTGTACAGTTGCTATGGCTTTCTTGCTAATGCAATAAATATTATATTAAAAAACAACAACACGTATATGTGTGTGTTAGATCACAAAAAAATGATAAAACCCTGAAGGGACTTACCTTTGTGTTTCCCAGGAGCAGGCCCCCTTGGTGGACAGGTTCATGTCAGGGCAATATGGCTTAGAATCTGGTGAGACAGTTTGGTGTAGTAGTTAAGTGCAGAGACTCTAATCTGGGAGAACCGGGTTTGATTCCCCACTCCTCCACTTGCACCTGGCTGGATGACCTTGGGCAAGTCATAGTTCTGATAAGAGCTGATCTTGAAGAAGAGCAGTATCTGTCAGAGCTCTCTCAGCCCCACCTACCCCACAGGGTGTCTGTTGTGGGGAGGGGAAGGGAAAGGAGTTTGTAAGCCACTCTGAGACACCTTTGGGTAGTGAAGGGGTGGGGTATAAATCCAATCTCTTCTTCTCTTCTTATTCAGGTTGCTTTGTGTTGCATTCTCCTGTGTATATATGAAAATCTCCTATTGTTTTCCTCTCCTGCAGGTAATTGTATTTTCCCTTATTTTGTTTTCCCAAAATAAAATTAAAACTTAAGATCATCTGTATATTGTCCCTGGATCACTTGGTTATAAAAGGACTGGGTTATATGTGTCAGCTATTTCCTAAGCAAGCCAGACTCCTATTTAACAGAATGAGGTGTGCAACAGAGAGGCTGAAGTAGATCTGTCAGACTCTGCTTCACATCTCAAAAGTGACTGGTGGTGGTAGCTACCCACTGTGTGTGGGGTAGTGTTTAAGGGGTAAGCAGTAGGCAAATAGACCTCTGGGAAGATGGGGAAATAGGGCCCTCTGTCTCTCCCCCCCCCATCATGAGGAGTCTGTGACGTCTTAAACATGCATTAGTGCTCCCTCAGCTAAAACATGAAGTCGCAGTTTTGTTCTAAAACATAACCATCCTTGGGATACGGTTCTTTGATACACCAGTTCAAAATTAGCAATTATGCAACTTGTTTTCAGGACCCTACACTTGTTTCCAATCGTATACTAGTATATTAAAAGCCTACAAGTTTCCATCTCTTTATCTCTTTACCTCTGGAATCCTTGCTGCTCAGTTAAGTATGGAATATTATTTTGGGGATTCACTGATGTGTATTACTCCACACATTAACCGTTTTGTAATCAAATCCTATGCTTACTTATTCAAAAGCAGGGATGGGCATGGATCAGAAAAATGTGGTTAGTGGTTGAACTAGTTTGTGGCCCCACAAGCCCCATTGAAAGGAAACACAGTTCCTTTCAATAGGGTGTCGAAAGCCCCGCCCCCCAAAAAACCTGAGTTGCGGGGAGCAGATTGCTCCCTGATACTCAGTTGTTTTTGCTTCTTTCCCTGAGAACAGAAAATGGGGGTTTTAAAGGGACCTAGAGTCCATTTAAACCCCTGCTTTCTACTCTATCCACAAACTACCATGAATGGCTGTAAAAGTTTGTGGAAGTTCATGATAGTAGACCTGTCACAAACTTTGGTTCACAAAACATGAACAGGGAAAAATTCATCACGAATTTTGCTTCCTGGTTCAGTTCATACTCATCCCTATTCAGAAGTAGGTCACAGTAGAACTTACCTGCAAGTTTGCATGGAATCACAGGTCCTTAGGGAACCTATTAGGTTTGGGCTTACTGTTTCACATAGCTGGGGCTTGGTTGGTTACAGTGCATTTGAGCAGCATGCCTGCTGTATGGGCACGCTGCAAACTTATCTTATTAGACTCCTTTAATTACACTTGTGGCAAGCTCCTGGTTGTCCTCAAACTTCATTTTTAGAAGTTTTGTGGTTGGTATTTGCAGGACATTTAACATACATTAAATATTTAGTGACACCTAGCCAGCAGCCACCTCCAGCATGCACACCTCATGCTTCACATATAAACGGCTGATTTAGGGAAGATTCTTCCCATACAGCCTAATTAAGGGAATTGTGTGCTAGGGACAACTCTCCTCTGTTAATTCACTGCTGTCTTCTGTGCCTAACATTGAATTGTTAAACATGCCACCCACACTTTCCAAAGAGCGGGGAGACATACCTGAATGATCCACAAGGTTGACAAGCAGTCTTCCTACATCAGAAAACAAAAATTGGCTTCTATATTATAGAGCTGCGGCACTAGTTTGGATTAGAGAGTGGGTCACTCTTGAAGATACAAGATTGTTACAAATTGAAGGACATGATTTGTTACTTGGATGGAATGCATTTTTATGGTATGAGAAAGCAAATTCCCAAAAATATTTTAAACAGCATTGGTTGAGAGCCTCTTTACTTAAAGTTTGGGATAGAATTCATTAAAAAAATTATACTAAAAGATCAAGACTAATAACACAATTAGAGGCC